CTTTGGAGTGTGGGACACCCGTGGGTAACCTCACCCCAGTCTACCCAAAGTTCCACGCAAGACCCCTCGGGGTTACCTGCGGGTAGTGGCGACACGCACGAGACTCGCGAAATGTTCGTCAATTGTCGCGTGGGGTCCAACCAGCCAATAGGGCGCAAGCTCGGTTGGAGGTGACTTGCAGGAAACTTCACAGGTTGGGCCCGGACCAAGTCGCTAGCCGAGCCTGAGCCCTCAGACTAGACTTGATTCGAGAAGCGAATTTCGTGTAGAAGCGTGTCATATGATGGATAGAACAAGAAAAAACGTCTTTTGACGAAATGTGTATAATGGGGTTTGAAAGTGATGGGTGAGCCATGACTGGCTGACCAATGAATGCATCGTTGGGTTTATACCCATTGGTCGATTTCTCGACTTATCCAAGTTCGAGCGAACCTCCTGCCTTCGTGTGTACACCCAAAAATTTGTAGGGCGTGCTCGGCGTCTTGGGATTCAAGTACAGAATACTCGGTGCCATCAGCTCTCGACACGTGATGTGAAACAGCTTCCTTTAGTGTCTCTTTTGGTATGAAGTTTTGCCTCTATTTGGCTCACTGGATACGACCCAGAGAACAACACCTAACTGTGACAACGAATCCCAATCACACATATACAATAGACTCAACGCAAAACCCATCAACTTTCATAGTTCGTCCCTCAAGCTTGTCAACGTTCTTCTCGCACTAGCATTTTACTTAAACAGAAACGCGCCCAGCGCTGCGTAGTATGTTTTTCTCAGCTACCTAAACTATTGCAACTGTCTAGTCCTCAGTATCGCCCTGTATTTTCCCCCATTCTCTTCCTTGTGTGTGCTTGTTTTGCTTAAAGCTTCGCGACGCGCATTCGGGCTGAAGGGTGCGGGCAACCAGCAGTGGCCATAGTCGAAGCAAGCAAAACACGTCTTCCAGACGGGTATGTCAGACACGTTTTGTGGCGACGTCATCCTGAGCTAGCCTGTTGTTTCTGTTCAGGTTTTCTATTCCTATGAGCATAATCTTTTTCCATCTTCCTCCCGTACTTTCCCTCCTTACCATTCCCCTAAGCCTTTCGTGCATCTTCTTGCGGTGCACGTTGGGCGCGTGAGCTTCTCGCGATGCACGTTGGGCGGGACGCACGAGCTACTCGCGGTGCATGACAAGCGGGATGTGTGAGCTTCTCGCGATGCTCGCCGCGCATCCCTATCAAGCTCAAGTGGCTCCTCGCCGTATTCAGGTATGGTTGTAGCACTTTCTCATTGCCCCCCTTGTGTACGGATCCTACTCGACATCCCCCCCCCCCCCTCCCCCCGCCCTCCTTGCGTCCTCTTGCCGCACTCTATTTCCCCCCAGCTTTTACTGGCACCTTGTTCCATGCTCTTTACCTTACAACCTTTGTCTCCCCTCCTTTCCTCGCCATCCTCATTGTCCCCCCCTCCCTTCCCCCCCTCCCCCTCCCCTCCCTGTATAGCTGGTCTTCATTCGTTGGTAATTTTGTGCAACTGCCATGGGGTAAGTGGACGTCTGCGTGGAATTGCTTTAAACCCAGACTTACGTGGGCCTGTGCAAGGGTGGATGCAGGCCGCTCTTTCACACCTGATATTGTGCTTGACAATGTTCGTTTGTGCAGCGAACAGCTACCAGCCAGATGGCCATGCAGCAGCGGTGCTTGTGTAGGTTGGGAAAGAGGTGCTGGTGGTATGCGTAGGCAAGCTTAGCTAATACGCCAAGTTGGAGTTAGGAGAGGGAATCTGCGCAAAACTCTAGGTAATTGCAGCTAAATTGACCACCTTGTTTTGCATGCTTTGTATTGTGATAAAACTGATTGTACTCTCGATAAGCTAAGCTTTGTAACAATTATATGTGCGTAATAAAGAGTTTTACAATGTCTCAAAACGAAGTTGCCCTCAGTGCTACAGTCAAGTCATAAATACAGGCATGCCCCTTAATGTAGTGGTTGTGCTACTATTGAGGTAAGTAGTTAAACAGTTGATATGTTGAGTGTAGAAAATATTTCGTATCGGGGCGCCAGTGACGAGGATTGAGTGTGCTATTGTTTTGCGCATAAGGGTCAACATGTTCGCGCGCAAGTGTACTCCTTAACCACACACGCCTTCACAGTTTGATGGGGATAAGAATCCCTCAAAAGGTTTACGTCACGTTCCCCCCGACACACCCGAAGGTGACAAGTTGGTATGGCGAGGATGACATCACGAGGGAATCCCGAGGGTTACCTCGAAAGGCATTCTGGCCGTTGGTTTTCCCGAGGTGACCCAGTCAGAAGCCCCAGGGTTACCCCCAGGCGCGAAACCCCAAGGTCACTTGTGGTAGTCTTGGGGGTAACATTTTGCCACCCTAGTTTTTGGGATACTGGCTGGCTGGCGGCAAAATGGGGGAAGCGCGACGGCAGGGCAGTAGCCTATGATGAGAGCTTAGGCTAGGGCGGATGCTAGAGCGACAGCCTACAGCCTAACTAGGCCTAAAGAGGTAAGCTAGGGTGGGAAGGGAGTGGGTAGCGCCTAGGGCGGAAGCGTGATGGCTAGGAGCGAGACCTAGCCCTATACAGGTCATATGCCTTGTAGGCTTATGCCATTGATGCAACGTAGTACTGTATAAGTAATTTATCCTTATAAACCGCTCCTTGAAAGCACCGTACACCCGTGTCATGTCAACAGTTGTCACCACGGTCAATTCATGGAACACAAAGTCAGCGAATCAGCATGTTGGTGCGATTTGAGACGACGAGTTTCAATGGTGGGCGAACAGAAACTTCTGCACCTAACCTGTGACATCTTCACTACCAATAACTTCACACTGTGTACTATTTACCCTTTGATCTAGGGCTATCCGTGGTTGACTCTAACAAATAATGAAATAATGTTAGCACTTTCCTGGCTACAATATTATGGGCCTCTGCGAACTCTCACGGGGTTCGACGACAATCACAGCATAAATGTTTCGGTGCGAGGGGCGTGCTCTTCGATCCCGCCCTACTCTGACTATAGAACTAGACACAACCATTTGGGGTTACCTTCACCCCAAGTCTCGAGCCATGCTGGGCGTGTTTGACTCGAAAGTTTCCAGGTTGTGAAAATGTCGCAATCTAAATGTAGTTTGTGTCATATTCGCCAACTGATGCACGGTGCTGGATCCACATCATTGGGAGGAGATTCGGTGGACCATTAGCCCAGCCAGCTATGGGCCTCCACGTCTGGCGCACAAAATCCTTTCAAAACATCTCTACAGTAGTACATCTTTGTTGTCACCCGATTGTAGTCGGGGGCGTGTTGTTTCCAGTTGCGCAACACAGCCAAGTTGCGCAACAAAGTCTGGTTATAATCTTCGTCAATTTTCGCTGCACCTCAACCAATTGAAATTTAGATTGGAAAGCGAACATAAACGTCTCGTCCTTGTTCGTGCTAGAGCGCGATGAATTTTGTGAGAACATATGAACCCTCAAAAGACACGCGTGCGACCAGGTGCGCGACACATGATCGCAGCATACGCCAACACCGCCGACCATGAACAGTTCATAAAAACCAAGGCTAAAAAATATTTGTCAACTGTATAGTCTCGTCTACCCGTAGCGTCCCTCTAGTTTCTTTATTCTCTCATTCTCTCATTCACTCTCTCATTCTCGTATTCTCACACTAAAATGCACCACGGGCGTATGGGACCTTGTATACGCTACGCATACGCTTGGATTGGGACCTAGTATATGCTACGCATACGCTAGGCCGGGCAGGCAAAAAAAAAACGGGCAGGGGCAAAAACACCGTGGAACGGGGGGGGGGGGGGGGGGGGGGAGAGGGGGATGTGCAGCAAACGGTTCCACTGCAACAACAACCAGAAAACATAGACTTAGGCATAATAAATAAGCATCGTGCCAAGGCTTCGAAGGCGTTAGGCCGTGATGAATGGGGCTAGTAAAGGTAAGCTACGCTACGCGCACTAAACGAGGTTTAGCGTACATAGCTGCGAGAGAGGAAGAGAGCAGTTTGGAGGGGTGGTTGGGTTGGGTAGAGACATTAGGGTGGAGTGCAGTAGAGGGGGGCGAAATGGTTAGAAGTTGGGTTTGCTGCAAAATTTGGTGTGTCGCAAGTTCGCAACACTCTGATTGGTTTCGCCTACTCGCGAGTTGACGAGCAAAAAATCCCCGATTCTTTGTCGGGCTGCCCTTGAAATTTCGGCCGAGCGTATGGCGTATAAATGCATTTATAGCGTATATACGCCATAGGCTCCCCAAATTTTGCATATAGTGCAACTAAGTTCTCGCATGCAATCATTCTCTCGTTATCCGGTTTTCGGATTCTCTCATAGTCTCATTCTCCCATTGTTCCCTCCCTCCCTCATTCTCTCATTCTCTAGTTTTTTTATTCTCTAATTGTCTCAATCCTCCCATTGACCACTCTTTCATATTCTCATTCTCTGGTTTTCTGATTCTTTCATTGTCTCATTCTCCTGTACATTATTCTCTCATTCTCTAATTTTCTTATGCTCTCAATATCTCATTCTTGTATTCTCCCACTCCTCCTTTCACAAATCAGCCCACTCACTCATTCTCTGGTTTCTTTATGCTCTCATTCTCCCATTCACTCCCACATTCTCTCGTTATCTGGTTTTCTAATTCCCTCATTGTCTAATTCTCCCATTGTTCCCTCCCTCCCTTGTTCTCTCATTTTCTCCTTTTCCGATTCTCTAACTGTCTCATTCTCCTATTGACCACTCTCTCATTCTCGGATTCTCTGGTTTTATGAGTCCTTCATTGTCTCAATTCTCTTAATTACCATTCTCTCAATCTCTGGTTTATGATTCTCTCATTGTCTCATTCTCCCATTAACCACGCACTCATTCTCGCATTCTCTCATTCTCCGGTTTTCTCAAACCGCCCCCACCCCCCCCCCAACCCCTCTCTCCCTCTCAACCTCTCTCGTCCCATTTTCTTACCTCCGTCTGATATTTTGTTCATTTCTTCAATCCTCGTTTCCATTTCTCGTGTTCTACCATGGCTTCTTTTCTCAAACTCGTGTTCTCCTCATTTTCTCTCTCTCTCTCTCTCTATCTCTCTCTCTCTCTCTCTCTCTCTCTCTCTCTCTCTCTCTCTCTCTCTCTCTCTCTCTCTCTCTCTCTCTCTCTCTCTCCCTCCCTCTCTCTCTCTCTCTCTCTCTCTCTCTCTCTCTCTCTCTCTCTCTCTCTCTCTCTCTCTCTCTCTCTCTCTCTCTCTCTCTCTCTCTCTCTTTTCCACGTGTGTTGGTGCATCAGGAATGCTTCTGGAAGAGATCTCTGATTTCCTACTGTGGTTTTTATCTACAATAGACTGTTGAATAAGATGTTTTAAATGTTTTCAGCTTGTTGTGACATTTCTTTCTTCTGATGCATCTTAGAGTCCATGTGTTATGTCGGTGTTCTTTTTCTTTTTATTTGTGTTGCGGCCCTTTTCCATTTTGCTACTGCTTGCTCGATAGACGGGTGGTGAATTTTGTGTACGCAAGAAAGTGGGTTGTATTGATCGTCTCAAGTTAAGTTCTTTGACTTTCCACCTTGAGTGCAGTCATTTGAACTGGAGATGATGGGTGCAATCCAATTTTTTGCAGTCGCGAAATGTATTGCCTCAAAATATGTCGTGTGACTGGTCCACTAGGCTTTCGATTTCCCCCACTTACCGTAATCCCCCTGATAGGCGCCTCTAGGGGCGTTTAGGACGAAACATTTTTTTCCCTGTGGGGCCTGTAATCGATTTTTTAAATATTAGCCCCAGGGCCTAACTCATGCATAGTTTGTTATAATTTAAAGGAAACAAATTTAGGTGCACAATACTGTTCGTTTCTTGATCTCAATTGAAATCACTGACGTATGTGAATTTGAGCTCGGGTGAAGATATTGCTAAGCTTGTTGACCGATCGTCCAATGGGAAAGCTGCTTCTGTGTGTGCTGGAGTCCGCGAATTCAATGGTAACGCGTGCTCGCCATTGGCTTGCATGCGCAAGTGCCACGAAACCTAGTCTCAGGTGTCAGAGAGCTAGATTTCGCATGTGCGCACGAAAGCAGGGGAATTGAACTCGGCAAAAGCAGTGTGATCCGCCGTTTGAAATGATTTTTTTGTGTACAAGATAACGCTGGCTTAAAAAACAAATTACTCTCCAAAGGGGGAGGGGCCTATAATCGAATTTTGCGTATAAGCCCCTTTAGTCGATTAAAGGACCCAGGGTCCTAACTTAGGGGGGGTCTTCTATCCGGGGAATTACGGTAGCTGGGGAAGGGATTGCCTATTTCTGTCGTCGACAAAAATGCGCGACAGGCAACTATGGAGAACATTTACAGTTTTTGTTTTCCATAATTTATTTGCCAATAATATGGTGTTATTAATATGTTACACTATATTACATATATTTTGGGGAGAGATTTTTTGTTTTCCAAAAAAAAAAAAAAAAAAAAACCACGAAACGTGAAATGATGGAAAACATGAACACATTCGTTGTTTTCCATCATTGTCTATTTTGAAGTATAATATTATATGTAGTTCTTATATCATCCAATTTTTTACATAAGAAAGCTAATGAGTCTATAAATAGTTTAAAAGAATGATCTCTAATATATTGGCCACTAATCTCCACCTTTTCCTTAGATATACAAAAAAAGGTGACAGTTGTTTTAATAAAACTTGGACAAAAATCTCGTCCGATCAATAAATAGGTTCCTCCGCAACAAAAAAAAAAAAAAACAGATTGATCGGTATTACCACGTTCTACAGGTGCAGATGGAAAGGGAATTGGTGTTTAGGAAGCCCTGCGAACGTCAAGTTTTGGACGCAGCTTTGAGGGGAGAATTATGTGAACTGTCAGATTGTTTGTCCACCTTTGTCCTAAAGGAAAACGATGGACTGCACCTCTAGTCTGACCTGAGGCTAACCCGCGGTCGAAGGAGCCGCGGGGTTTAGAGGCTCAACCTTGGGTCTAGTGACTTTGACGGTCGTGCACCTACAGAGGTGCAGAAAGTCGCAAAACGAGTTGACAATGTACAGAATACCGCACAGAGTTGTCGCAAAGCGAATTGGGAGGTGTACATTGGCGGGCAAAGCACTTGCGCCACTTCTAGTCCGGTTGGTTTGTATGCGAACGGTGTGTTTCCAATCAAGCAGCCGTCAGGAGTCGTAAGACCCGATGCAATTTCCACCTCGGGTGTTCCCGTATGATACTAGTGTCAGACACGAGCTCCAGAATTACCCTAACTTCACAAGGAAAACCCTTACAGCAACCGTACAGTAGTGCACACCATTAGCGCACATCGCGGAGCAGGAAACGGGATGCCAATGTCCAATTTGGGTTCCTATTGGATGGAATTCGGAACGCGAAATCGACAAGGAATAGGTTGGGCGGTTCGGCTATGGCCAAAGTACGGGAGGCTTGCGGCTTGCCTCTTTCACTCACCGCCACATAAGGAACTCGGGCGACAAGCAAAATATCACATAGCTCTGAACCACGAAGTCCTTGCTTCATCAACTCGTTCCCTCTTTAGCTGCTTGTTATTCTTGTAGATATTCGCCTTTGCTTCACTATACTTAATCTTTCTTCGATAATATTCTCAACAGAGGCTCTTTCCTCATTAGAAGCTCTTTCCTCGACAGGTGCTCTTTCATTTGATCGATTGCTCAGGGAGTCATGGCCACCTCGCACGCCACGCTCGCGCTTCTCCTCCTCGCCATCATTTCCAGTAAGTTCCGTCCCTCCAGCCATTTCGGCGTCCCAATCGGTAATCGTCATCATTTATGGAACGGTGTCACATCTGTGAATTCTTCTTGTGACCTCATTACTGCGTGCCTTGCGCTCGTTCTCCTCGAAGCCACAGGAATACACGCGGCGTGGGGGGCAAACGCCATGGCAATCGTGGATGCGATTCTCTCGCATGTGGGCACGAACCTCACGGCGGGCTTCAGATTCAACTTTGACGTCGTTGCGCGCTGCCTGCCCATTCCTGCCAACACCACCGTGAACAAGACCACGACGGTGACGTGGCTCATGGCGGGAAAGCCGGCGACAGCAGTGCCGTGCAGGCGGCTTGTGTTCTTCGACTCTCCCGAATGCCGAGGCACGGCCCTCGAGATTGTCACCAGCCCTACCAGCACCCTTTCAACCACCGGGTCAGCCCAGCCTGCCACAGACTGCTGGACGCAGCTTTGATGTAGTCCGATTAAGCTCGTGTCGCTGCTAGGCTAGGTCAACAGCCTTGTTTCAGCGAACCAACAATCCTCAAGTGCTTTCCCTAGCCCTACGTGCTTCGGATTGAAAAAAAAAAAAAAAAAAAAAAAAAAAAAAAAAAACAACTCGTTTTGCTTCCAGTGTGTGTTGCTGAATTCATGACGCCATCCCCGCAGCACGGCGAGGGTTACCCTGAAGAGCATTTTCTCGTCCGTCCTCTGCGACACCAGTGCGTGCTCTCTTGCTCGCCTTCCTTCCCCCGCCAACCGCTCCCTTCCGCATTGCACTTGCCCAATCCTTGTGGCGCGCATCATGTTGTGCCCATCACAGCCCCGACCCTAACTTTCATCCTTCGCCGCGCCAGACCAGTTAGTTTCTCTCGCCCTCTCAATCACTCCGTGCGCTCATCGAGCTTGCCCTCCATTCACTGTGCGCCTCCCCTCCTCCCCTCCGTCCTGCCCGCCCTGTGCAGCCAGCGGCGTGCGCATAACCACGGAGATGGCGGCCAGTGTGAGCGTCGCGTTCGATGAGCGCCGCTGCTCTAGCGTGCGCAGCGACGGCAGCACCAGCAAGGACGTGAAGGCCACGTGGACGCTGGGCGAGGCGACGTGCAAGCAGCTGCATTTCTTCCCCTCGCCCGACTGCACCGGCACCGTTGCCGGCACCATTGCCATGCCGTCCTCCATCACCCTCAGCACCGTCACCAGGTCAGCTAAGTAGCGAAGCTGTGATTCGCCGTTTGCCATATCAATGAGCCTTGTGTTGGGGCTGTGCAGCGACGCAGTCATACTGTGCTGCGCCCTCCTCCCTTCGTTCCCCTTCTCCCCATGTGTTTGTTCTTTCCTCTTCTCTCCCCTTCTCTCCTATTCTCTCTCCTCTTCACTCTTCTCCTCTCCTCTTGTCACCTCTTCTCACCTCTTCTCTCCTCTCTGCCTTTGGCGTGTTTGTCGCATCCCCTGGCAGCACCAAGACCATCTAAGGCTGGGCGACAGTCGCCTCTGTGTTGTGTGACATCGGTACGCATCTCAAACCACATCGTTCAAAATCCATCGTATCGCTATCACTACAGCACGCCACCTCCCTTCCCCCACCACTCGCTCGTTTCCCACCGATCAGTTTGCTTCCTGCTGACCACGTGCTTATGGTACTCCACTCCACCCCGTTGCACCGCAGAGAACATCTGCAAGTATGCCACGTGCCCAGTTAGCTCCACGTGCGTGGCCACGACTGACAGCAAGCGTGTGGCGTGCTCGTGCAACCCGGGGTTTGTCGGCATCGCCGGCACTTGCCAAGGTGACTCCCATGCCGAAGTGTCTCCTGCGCAGAGAGTGCAGATCCAGTTTGAGTGCCCCTGCCATGCACTCTAAACTGCAACTTCACAACCTTATGCACCTGAGAGCTTGCGCTCTGAGGTCTGCAGAAAACCGCCACTTTTCTGGGCAAGTGTATCCCTCCCCACCAACATGCCACCCAAGCTTGTATTCTTTATACCCCTCCCCCTCTCCCTCCCTCCCCACCTCTCGTCCTGGGTTGTCTCACGTGCCGCTGCAATTCCCGTGTGCGTGTGTGGGCGCCATGTGTTGCAGACAAGTGCTTGATCACAGATTGCTTGAGCAACGCGTACTGCGTCAACGACGGGGCAGGGAATGTGACATGCGTGTGCTAGCCCGGCTATGAGATGGATAAGATGAATGTCTGCGTTGGTGAGTCGCCAGGCTGAAAAGTGTGTGAGCGATGCTTGTGTGAGTGACCGATGCTTGTGTGAGTGAGCAAGAGTAAGATGCACTATCCTTCTTAAAGCAGCTGCATGACCAGCAGAAGAGAAACTATTCCATGACCCAACTATTCCATAAGTGCATTGCCTTGAACTGCAGGCCCAACTCTCAGTGCGTGAAGGACGCTGCTGGTAACCCAAGCTGTGTCTGCGACAAGGGCTTCCAGATGCTTCCCAACAACACGTGTGCCGGTGAGCCATGCTTCCCAGCAGGCCATCCTATGGTGTTCATGGTACCATCTCTCTCTCGGTTCCTCAATCTTTAATCTCCAATCTCCTGCGCCACCCCCTGTGCTGCCCTCCTCTAAGACTCCGCATGCCTGGTGCTCGACTGCTCTCCGGACGGCACCTGCGTCAACAACACAGGCGTTCGATCCTGCAAATGGGGTATGCCCATCCTCCCTCGCACCCTGCCATGCCACGCCATAGGATTCCTTGTGCCGCACCTGTGCTCCCTGGCCCAACCATTAGCCCACTTGGAACATTGATGCCAATCATGTGCCCTCAAGCCCAACCTCGCGCACAGCATGCGGACCTCGCCCACCACCTCGGACCGTTATCTAGCAAGTACATCGGGCATGAGGACGCTGTTGCTGCTGCTGCTACTGCTGCTGCTGCTGCTGCTGCTGGTGGTGGTGGTGGTGGTTGACTTGTATGTTTGGGGGGTTGGGGAAGGGGGGAGGGGGCAAGGAGGGGGAGGGTGGCACACATGTTTGCATGTCATTCATTTCATCGTCCTTCCCGTATTCTCATCTCCCGTGTGCACCCGTCCATTTTCCGCAGGAGTCATACATGGTTCCCGAGTAACA